CACAAACGTCTTCGACGTTATGCCAGGAGATGTTGGGAAAGAGCACTGCAACTAGCCCCAATGCTTCGGACTTTGTAATTTTTCTCCCGATCAGTCTGGGTCTTCAACAGCAGGCCAGAGAAGATCACCCTGAGGTATCTAGGCAGTCACAGTTGCTGTAAACTTCAGTCAAGAAAGAGTTTACTTAAGAAGTTCACCGAACTTTTTTAGGTTAATTAGACGTCGAACTACCTCGCCAACAAATATATTAGAACTTAACAAAGTTGACAGAAAACAGCTTTAAGGGGTCACAAAAATTTTAAGCATGCCAAAAGTCGCTAGAGGGTGAATTGGAAGGAAAACTTCAAATGTATCTAATGAATACAATTTTAGGCGTCAAGAAACTGACGCAGAAAATTTATCGAGATTGGAACAGCAGCCTCAAAATTGACAAATAAAGAATCCATTACGTGAGAGATCAGCTTTTCATTTCACCCTCACAGTAATCTCTTAAATCTTTAGCGATCTAAATTCAGGTTTTTAAATAAGAATAAAATTTATTTGTATTTTTGTGTCGATAAAAAATGTAGAGATTCAGCTCTATGACTTTGTGGCTCTGGTAATAAAGTTGTGAGATAAGAAAAAAAAATTTCTTTTATTATACATTTTTTGGGAGTTTAATATCTTAACATCTTTAAAAAATAGCCCTTTTCGAAAATCACACGGGAGAAACTAATAATCAACAGCTCCTGATGGCCACCGATTATTTTATGGCATAAAGAACGCACGGTACTTTTCAGCATAATTATATTTTTTTTAATTTTTGCAGCTCATTATTTGATCAAATAAACTGTATGGATTGCGAACAAATATTTTTTTAGTCAGAAGATCTTTGTTCCGAGAAGTGTCAGGAATAAATGTAAAATTTCTAACTGAAAACGTTTTACATTACATGTCAACACACTACGGTGTTCCATTTAATAAGTAGTATTATATATCATCAAAAATTTTCACCTCGTGGATCAGTAAACATGATTTTCCATATTATTTACATACACACAAGGTATTAATTCTAAAAAGTAAGGAAATACAAACTCACCCTATTTTGCCTATTGTAATTAGTTTTCCTTTTTTTTAAATACACATTTATATACCGTATGTATTTTTTTTTTTTCTCATGTGGCGCCAAAATCGGTTGTTTCGTAGAGTCTGAGTACCTACATCTAGATAAGTTTTTAAGCATAACTAATTCATAGGAGTGCCTTGTATTTTCATCCGAGCAAAAAGTGCAATCATCTTGGAAACTAATGAAAGTAAAGAAAGTATTGAAAAATGTGAAAAAATCAGTTTTTTTGCTGTATCTTTTATAACTTTTATGAAATATACTTGTGAAGTCGGAAATATTGTAGATCTTACTGAGCTACAACTTTTTGTACTACTCACTTTTATTTTAACTGTGAGCCTGATAGTCCAGAAGTCAACAAATATTAAGGTAGTACTGTTGATACCGCACTAATCAACTAAAAAATTAATTTCAATGGCAACGTGTTAGTATATCTATATTCATTGTGTGTATAGATATAATACTCATGCTTAACCTCTTAATTGTATTCATTTAATCGTTAATTAAAGAACTCACAGGCACCTAATGAATATTATGAAGTGACCATAATGTAATTTACGTTTTTAGCATCTTCTTTGTAGACTTTTATAAATGTCTTGTTGGTCAGTGTTTAGAAGTAGGAAATAAGTCACCTTCTTTCATAAGATTATGTGTTAAACTGATAAGTGGTAAAATGCCCATGATTTTCTTCCTACACACCTTAGGTCCACAAAAATTTAACTAGATCATTGTTAGGTACTTATTATCTCATGTATTTAATTGTATTGAAATGTTGTAGGTCAATTATGTACAATTATCAATCAATATACGACAATACTACTTTAAACACCAACAAAAAATTGATTACTGCCGATGACAGTAAATAGTTAACATTATACCATACAGTCAGAGATACAAAAGATTAAGATATTGAAACATTTTAAAAAACACGTAGTTTTATGTATTAATTTTTTTACCTTGTTTGATGCTCTGAAAATTAAAGAAAATATTCCAGCATATCTTCACGACCTAATTGAGATTGTTTTAATTTAATGTTTCAAATTTTTTCATTACTATTTCTAAGTTATGTAAGGTCTGATACAGCTACATTTAATAAAGTTTAATTAGTAACACTTATAAGAGCCTATGTTAAATTGTAAAATCAAATGATTTTTTCTCAGAAGTACGCCTTGAAAAGAATATTTAAAAAAATTCATACGCACATGTAATATTCTAAAAAAAAAAACGTAATTATTTTCAGCATTATCTAACATCAAATTTCTGAGCTGTAGGTATATTTTAGTATCGTAGATCAATCGTACGATAAAGTTGACAACTAACAACATAGATTTTTACCTAACGGCTATTTTTTTTTTTCAATGAACGATTGATTGAATTAAAAAGTACATAAAAGGGAAGACTTGAGATGTCCTTAAATATCTAAACTTTAAAACCTTGTCTCTACCTGATTTTTTTTTGCACTTGAAAATTTTGTCAGGTACTAAAATTTATACCTAAATACCTCATGATATTAAATTTCAATTTTCTGATATCCAGCATTAAAAAAAAACTACTGTTTCGCGTACTTCTAATAGAAATTTTTTTCATGACAATTAAAAACGTGAGATTTTTAAATCGATCTAAGTTGAAAAGGTAAATGTTTAACACATGGGCAAATAAGATAAAAGTGAAACAAATTGTAAATCATTATTGACTAAGTTTCTAGACAAAATAAAATATAATTAAATAAAAATCGATTTTTTGAGTAACTCCCTTGAATATATTTCGAGTAACGGTGGTTAGTGTGATAAGTGAGATATCAAGCGTTACCGTATCAATGCAGAAAGTAACTGTTACTCAATAAAATAAATTTTTAACTAAAATATACTTTTTTTTAATTGTTGAATAATCTAAGAACAGTCATTACTTTAAATGATGCTTTCCTAAAAAGACCTTCATTTTCGTCTGCTTCATTTTTAATTTTTCGAGATAATCGTTGTGGAGCTCAATTATTCAAGACAAGAAGTATGCACGATTCAATTTCGTAACAAAAATTGCCAGACTCAATTTCTCTAAAAGTATTTGGACTTTTGATAATTTAATTGATATTTCTTGATCTAATGAACTCTTATCTAAATTTTCATCTAGTTTAGAAATTATAAAGTTCTACTTACGCAACAAACGCAATTGTGTGAATCAATAGCCCATCAAGCCCATAATTAAATAACCTAAACGATTTTGTAAAGAGATAAATCCATTAATTTTGTAATTTTATTATTACCTTGACTCCTGTTATTTGAAATTCCGATAATATTTTCTACACTTATTAAATGTCACCTTTTATTATACAACTAAGTTGTTAGATTTGATGATAAATTAAATTGATTTCCTGATTATCCATCGACATTTCAACATAATACCGTTTTTCCATTTCATTAATCAAAAACGTATACTTAAAAAATTTTAATTTTTCTACCTTGAGCGTTTTTGAGAGGCTGGTGTGCTCTCGGTAGGAAAAATGGTATTCGCCACATAAGCTCTACCCCTCCGGGGCAACCTTATGAACCTTCGGGCCTGCTTCGCAGGACCCTCGGGCCGCAAAATAACCCCAGAGGCGATGGCGCTTATCCGACAAAAACTACCATTTAGGGCAGTTTTAAAGTAGTAGTTGAATATGATAATAGTAGAAAAATATAGTTAAATTGTAATAAGTAATTCTAAAATATATTAAGAATACCATTGGGACTAATGACGTCCAAATTTTGTTTGAAACAACGTCAGTTTAAAAATTATTTTTTAACCTACTAGTTTGCGTGATAAGAACTATTATTTTTTAGGACTCTTACAAATTTAGCAGGCTGATTATTTTTTACTTCGATAGTGACTTAAGAGTAAAAATTTACTGTTCATCTGAAGCAGTTAGGAATATTATTCCATGAATCATATTTGCAAGGCATAATGTGTTGAATAAAAAAAGATCGGAATGACGTGACAAATCGTTACTGAATAAGTGGCCGTGGGTGTGTGTCTTTTATCTGTATGCATACGTCATGTCATAGGCACTTTGTGCGAAAACATTAAAATCGTACCAAGGATATTGATTGTATTCCAGTTTGCACTTCAATGTTACACAAAAATATAATTTTTTGTAAACTCATGACGAATGGCAGTGGGGGGAAAATTTGGTAAAAATTACTGTAATTTTTATATTAAAGTGAACAAATTTTCGTGCAAGATGTATTATTTTATACCACTTTTCCATGAAAATGAGTCTTGCCAATAAAAGGAGCGTCATTTTTTATTTTCAATAGGAACACAATCTTTTCTTGCTTATTCAATACTAGTAAGCTTCAAACTATAATCAATTGACTGAAAAAAGTACCCATTCCCCCAATTCCAGTGCAGCTCTTTTGACAGTAGTTCTCTTGATGAACAATAAAATTTTATTGGAACACTATTCGGCGATCCGGAAGTAAAAGACCTGTTAAATAGCCCATCGGGTTCTTACCGATTATTAAATCGATATCGTCTCTGTTAAAAAAAAAATTTAAAAACGTCATGGTACCGTGACTTAAGTTCCAATTAAATTAAGAGACGATGAAAAAAAATATACGAGGTGTTAGAAAAAGCGAGTGGACGGGAAACGAGCATTCATGTTTCAGTAGGTACACGCGTGTGAAATGGATCGATCCAGCGTGCCGTGGGTACATGACAGAAACAACAATTGTATAGGGTAGGTAGTCGTAAAAAAGGCCACCCGATAAGTAAACTCGCTCGAAATACAAATAGGCCCAACTGGTACGCGCATCGGCGCATGTGTATATACATATAATGGATATGTGCATGTATACACGCCCATAACTCCATGCATGGTTCGAGCGTCGCCGCGGCGTCTTAATATACCTCAGTCCAGCGGCACCGAGCTCCCAGTTCGACTCGAGCTACAGCCTCGACCGCGCGCACATCCACCTACTTCGGGCCCTCTCTCTTTTCTGCCGACTCGCGTACCTCTTTCACTTTCTGTCCGTTTGTTCGTTTCTTTTTTTCTTTAATATATATATATTTTTTTCTTCTCCGTTGTCTCCTCGCGACGGCGTGCCTTTTTTTGTTCGTGTGTATTTTTGCTGGTGCGTGAATAAATACGTGGATACGTACACCAAAGGTAAGTACATTTTTCTTTTTTACTGCCTTTCATGTGAGTATGTACGTGTGTTATACGCTATGTCTAAATGAGATTTTCGTGGGAGACCGATTTGAGATGGTGGCCGGAGATGAAACCTAACGGATAATAAGCACGTGCTTGTTTGTAGAAATGTTTTTTTTTTCCTCCACGAAAATCAGTAGATCGGTAAGGTTTTTTTGGGATCGTCATTCTTAAACTGCATCAATGAGATTTCAAGTGTTCAATGAAAATGAGGTCACTGAAAATCCATAAGTAGTCTTTGAAAAAGTCTGCGAAAAGCTTAATTTAATTGATGAGTCAGTGAAAGATCGGTAAATTTCACTGATTTTTATTTCGGGAAACTTCAACAAACAAATAGATACACGCGTCTGCACACGTAAAGCTTTGGTAGATGATTTACGAGCGAGAGAGAAAAACGCGCTGAAAAGCACACCTTGGAGTCGAAAGACCAAACTCGCGCGCTTATCCCCGGTTCAGCGAAACCGATTGTTCAAACAAACCGTGAATTTCTTTACCGATTTCTCCGATGCCTCGGGATCCAAAGTCTTTCGCGTCATCCTTTATTTTTCAATTAACATCCCATTCAAGAGTCTACCCTCGACTCGAGCTTGGATGATAAAACACACGTGCACGTGTGTAGTGTGCACAGGCCATGAGAAGCGATTAACAAACGCCGCGGCTTCAAAAGTAGGTTAAGAGAAGCTGCTGCCGACGTTCACTCGCTCATTCGTTTCTGCGGTGATTATATTTTCCATTTCGAAGCACGCCACGGACGCTATTTTTTTCTTTTCTTTTTTTTTCTTTAATTCCTCGTCTACAAACATATTTTATACCTATACTTGTGTGCATTGTCAGCATAGCGTATTATATAGAAACTGCACGCACTCGCCGACTCTTTCATTCGTCTTAACGTCCTTGAGTCTATGTGTTATGATCTCATCTTTGGGTCACGAATTAATGTCACTCTGCGTACGGCTGGAAAATACCTTTGTCCGTTTTAAAGTGTACGTGTGCAGTATACAGGTTGATACAATGATTTTTTTGATTTTTAATGTTTTAATCGATGGATAATGGATTCAGTGATGGATAATGACAAACGTATGGTCGAGAATCGAAAATCGAAAGATACAGACAGTAATGAGCATATTTACAGTAACTTTGAACTTGTAGAGAAACAATATTTTTTGGATTCATCACTGGTGAACTACTTCATATTTAATCAACGCCTAGTAAAATTATTAGGTGTGTCGTTTGAATTACGCAGCCAAAGTGTAAAAACTAGAGGTTTCTTTCATATATTTATAAATATATAGTATACGGATAACATTACTACAAAAGAAAGTTGTATACTGTATAGTATTAGCACTTTAACTTCTCTAATATTCTGACATAAGGGGGCATATTTTGAATTTATACATTCCAAACGTAATAAACACTCCTGGTAACAGTTCCAGGTAATAACAAACGAAATTGACCTCCCTTATACTAAAGATTACGCGTATACCGGCTTGAATGTAAGAAGAAAAGTATGTGTTTTTACGGTGATTTTAATCGTAAAATCGCGGTGAAATTAAGAGAAAAACCTGCATAACTAATAACGTGATTCACTGTAGGGTTATTTTCGAGATGACTTGTTCCTCAAACTCTATTTTATTTTACCAATGAATCACAATTTTTCTAATTTTTCCAATGTTACTGTAAAATTACCACAGTTATTTTCTTCATTTACACAAGATCATTCAAAATTACCTGACTTATAAATCTTCAAGACGTAGCTATGTTTTTAATAATGTTTATTTTAGGCTAAAATGCAACTACATCTTTTTCGTTACTGTAGGACCAGTTAAAAGGTCAATCCTTTTTTTTCCTTTACAAGTCTTTCAAATTCGGAACGGAGGTTGAAACCTTTAAAACGAATCCTAAAGCAAGAAAGAAAAAAAAATTATACCCATACTTTGGTCCAGAATCAACACTGAAAATAGTTTACATCTCAAAAATACAGAGATCAGAATATCCTCAGCCTTATGTAGTATACACTCGTCCTCGCAAGATAAAAATTTTCTTAAAAAAATACCCGCTTCGATCGCTGAACAATCGCCGTCCAAAAATCCCCAGTGCGAATCATCGTCGACAATAAACATACGGTGTACGCATGACGGCGGCTCCAAATAGATTATTACGATCGAGCTCGTGACGTTTGCATCGAATGATTCACTTCGAGGGTGGTGCGAGAAAAATTTCGCCAGCACCGCCGTCAGGGTATTTCACGGATGGACGTGCTTTTTCCTCGGTGATTTTCGCGGTGGACACTTCATGCGGAGACGAGAGCTTTTTTGTGATATTTGCGTGTTTGTTTTGTCAAACGGGCACCAGTGTTTGGAAAAAAAACTTGTCGAGATGAAAGTATGATTACGAAATGTACGTCGTACTTCCGGTTCGGCTTATTTGTAAAACATTTGAATTGAGGTTTGCGTTAATAAGAGTCACTTACATCAAATTAGTGTTGGGATCAACGTGCAAGGTAAAAAAAGTTCAATTAAAAATTCGAAGTTAGCTAAGTAGGTATGTGGAAAAAGAATATTAACCCTGGACAATTTGGTGGAGTCAATTTTAGAGCTGCTACAAAAAAGAGACCGCTGTGTAACATGAAAAGAAAGTGATTTTGTACATTGAAATAATATTTTTTTAGATCACCCATACTCTGTAAATTATTCACAGAAACTTGGAACAATGTTTCGGCTTCGTTCTACGTTTCATTAAACTCCAACTGAGATAGGGTTTTTTTTTACCCTGCGATCGATTCTATCCAGAGTTACTGTGAAGTTCCTTTCCTGGTACCGAAAGGGTGGAAAATTGTGGAGAATTTTGACTTGGTATAAAAATTTTTTTCAAACCTCTAGCACTTTCAGTATTAAAACAAAAAATTTCTGTGGATACGGAGTGTGAAATCGTTCAAGGAGCAAAATAAAGATGGACTCAAATCAAATAAACTGTAAACATTTTTTTTTTCCAACACAAACAACATCTCTTCTGTATGTCCCAGAACAGCTTTATCGATCATTTTGGCGTAAAATATAATACCTTTGTAAGTTTAAGGTGCAAAGCTGCAAAGTAATGAAAATGAATAGCAACGTCACTGGTAATTTTAAGAACTGATACCTACTCGTCCACGCATCCATGACTCTATTTGACTAAAATCAACATTAGCAAACAAAAAAAAGTAGCAACTCACTTTTGCCTTTCCTTCCTATCGTGTTTCGACGAATCGTTACTCGAAAAAAAAGCAAGTTCACCCCTCGTTACAACGTCTGAAATCAACCAAATGTCAACGACCCTTATGAAAGACTCAACAAGCAAATACGAAAATTTCTACCTCTTTCTCTTCGTTACCATACAGTACAGACGGCTTCTGTGTGAGCTTTAACGTTGTCACGGGGGTGATATTTTACCCACGTATAAAAAGTGGTTCGCGTGCGGCAAATTCTTTTTTTTTCCCCACATTTTTTTCATACCCCAGCGTAAGCATATAGTAACCGTACAAACCACTAGTACGTGTTGCTCGCACGCAATCACTTTGTTTTTCTATACATCTATCAGCGAGCACACAAAGGGACGATCTCAGGTCGTGTCTTTTTTATTTGCAAGTACACGTGCTTCATTTGGTCGATGGGGTGCAATTTTCGTGGTCATTACTCGTGCATGTGTGTGCGTGGATCTGCACGTACAGGTTACACTGGTGGCAACGGGTAACGATTTTTCCGCGTGTGTCCATCGCAGAAAAGAAATGCCGGGGCGATGCGCGATACTTATCTCAAGGGCGTTGCACTCGTTTTCACCCCCTGTTTTTTACCTTGCATTCGCCAATGACGCGTCGGAACGATTTTCTTGCGCACGATTTCCGTGGGTAATTTTATGAAACTAAATTTTGCTTTTCCACGAATTATAGGTGCTTGTAACGAGTTTATTTTTTCACGTAAAGTAACAATGCTTTTAAAATATCGAAACTATAAGTTAGGGGTTACTTTGGGGCTAATCTAATTTACTTTTTGTTTTTTTTTATTCTAACTTTTTTTTTAGTATGCTGATTTAAAAATAAAATTTTTTGGAGTAGAAAAAAGTATGTGTGAAGCGAATAAGGGCCTAATAGACGTATAATTATAGCTGTTCGAGTACATACATGTTATAAAAAGTGAATAACAATTTTTTTTGGTTATTATTTTTTTATTATTAAAATTATTATTGTATTGTGATTTTATCTTGAACAATAGTATGGATTTCAAAGGCCAAATATTTAATATTTTCTTATGGTTCAGTGACGAATCTAATAGATATTGTTATAGATTAAAGGCTGTGCGTGCCAACTCCCAAAATTAGTCAAACGTATACTTTCTCAATTAAAAAAAAAGAAAATTATTTCAATTATTTTTTTTTTTATCTCACCTTAAAGTTAAATTTATTTCCGTCCATACTTAAAATTATTTTTTTGAATCATTTTACTCTAAAAGAACTGCGTGATTAGGCTAGACTTACAAAATGCCAAATAAATGTACTTCATTGGGTGACTCATCAATTTTTTAACAAGAAAATTTATAAATTTAAAAAGATTTAACCGACGTATATACAGTATCGTAATATAATAAGTAAATTATAATTACCGTGACAATAAGCACGATTATAATAAAGGCTTATTAGACCTTATGAGTCTTAGAAAAGCCTTACAAAACAAAATAATAAAAATTGCAGTATATATCAAATATTATGTAGATTTTTTGAAACATTTTTGCTTTTTTAGAATATTATCTTTCATATTGTTATTGATATAAATATTATTACCATAATTATTATTAGTATTGGCATTATTATTCTTACCATCTTATACGTCTTACTTGTTCCAAAAATTTCAAGTACATGTTTGAAAAAAAATACTGGAGATAAAGTTAATTACTTAAATGTATAAAAATGAAGCATTAAACAAGAAA